AAACATTTATAACTTTCTATGTAAAGGACTTGGACACCTTTGGTTACATTCTTGTCTTTTTGGTTGCTTTTACATAGAGTATATTTTTAAATTACGTTTTCTGTTTTTGCTGTTAGGGAGAAGTGCATTTTACTTTTGTGTATTGATCTTCTTTGTGGTAAGTTGGATAAACTAAGTTTATTCATCCTAATAATTTGCCATGGATTCTTTTGGAATCCACAAAATGCTGGACTGTGGCAAATAACGACAGTTGTTTCTTCCTTCTGATCTTTACACTTTTCCCTCCTTTGTCTTGTTTTATTGCACTGGCTAGGATCTCCAGTATGTTGAATAGAAGTGGTAAGAGTGGGCATTTTTGTCTTGTTACTGATTTTAAAGCCAATGCATTTAACACTTGATGTATTTGCTGTGGGCTTTTTGATGTTACCCTTTGCTAGGTTAAGGAATTTCTATCCTAACAGTTTTTATTACAATTGGTTGTTGGATTTTTTTTTAAAATGGTGTTTTTCACTAATTTGTTAATGTGGGTATTAAATTAATAGCTTTTTCTAATGTTGGCCAATCTTGCATTCCTGGGATTAATCCACATAAGTCACAAAATAATATTGTTATGCAGTACTGGATTCATTTTCTAATATTTCTAGTATCTCCATCTTTGCTCACGATTGATAATGCCCTATAATTTTCCTTTACAGTACTTGCCTGGTTTGGGCAACTTATACTAGCCTTATAAGTGAATTGAGGAATAGTCTCATTTTTCCTATTGCTTGAAAAAATTGTGTAAGTTTGGAAGCACTTGTTATTATAATTTTGGCACAACTCACCTATAAAACTATCCCAATCTGGTGTTTAACTCCTGATAAAATGTATTTAATGAGCCCAGCTGGTGTGGCTTAGTGGTTGAGCACTGACCTATGCATCAAGAGGTCGCTGGCTCCATTCCCATTCAGGGCCCTTGCCTGGGTTGTGGGCTCGATCCCCAGTGGAGGACGTGCAGGAGGCAGCTGTTCAATGTTGATGCTTCTCTCTTTCATGGATGTTTTTCTCTCTCTCTCCCTTCCTCTCTAAAAGAATCAATAAATAACATAAAAATTTTATTTAATGATTATAGATAGGTCCTTTCAGATTTTAAACTTCTTCTTGAGTCAATTTAAACCCCTATTATTTTCATAGGACACTATTTCATCTAACACTTTTCAAATACAGGGGCAGGCAAAAGTAGGTTTACAGTTGTTAGTACATGAGTTTATTTTTCCACATGAACTGTAAACCTACTTTTGCCCACCCCTGTGTATAGGTAACTGTAGACAAACATTGATATGATAATCTCAAATTTGTGGAGTTAGTAATACCTGAAGTACTAGAAAGTAGAGTATTTACCATTTTCTGGAACTCTTCTTTCTTACATTTTCTATCTTCCTTTTGAGCTCATTTCCTTCTCCCTGATATGCTTTCTGAAAATGCCCTCTAGTGAGCATCTGTTGGCTGTAAATGCTCTTGCTCTCCTAAAAATGTCTAATTTTTTTTTATTTTTATAAGATTATGACAAAAATTATATCTGTTCTTAAACTTTGGATGGTATGGGAGACCCTTTTCCTCTACCTTTCATGTCTCATTTTGTTTCATATGTACACATTTGTTTTTGGATCTTTGTGTGAGGTCTCTAAGAGATTTTCATTCCCCGCCCCTCCCCCTGGGTCTTCCCAGGGCTAAGGCCAAGATACAAAGTATTCCTACTGTCTTTATGTGTATACTGGCACTATGTTCTACACTTTACTCTATATTCTTTAAATACCATGATACTGCAAAAGACAAAGAGAGGCTAAAGAAGTGTTCCAGATTAAAGTCACAATAAAGTAACATATGATCCCAGACTAGATTAAAAAACAAACCCACAGCAATTGAACAACAAATGGAATGGGAAGAAGGACTGTAGATGAGGGTATTGCTGTCAATGCTAAGTTCCTGAATTTGACAAATGTACTGAATATGCTTGTTCTTATGAAGTACAGATGTGGTATTAAAGGGTGAAGAATATGATGTCTGCAATATATTCTCAAATGGGTCAAAAAAAATAACAAGGGAGAAAACAGTAGAGCAAATATGAGAAACATTAAAGAAGAAATCAAAGTGCAGATAAATATATGTTAAAATTCTGAAACTGTTGCCTTGCAGGGCTCTGCTTTATGCACGTCTCTGATCTAACAAACTTCCCACCTAGCTCAAGCCCATGGCTTTGTCTTCCATGCATGTGATGCCCTTTAAAAAAAGGCTTCAGCTCTGGCTGGTTTGGCTCAGCGGTTAGAGGATCAGCCCACAGACTGAAGGGTCAAGGGTTTGATTCCTGGTCAAGGGCATGTACCTGGGTTGCAGGTTCCATCCCTGGCCCTGACTGAGGTCATGTGGGGGGCAACCAATTGATATGTCTCTCTCACATAGATGTTTCTCTCTCCCTCCCTCCCTTCCACTCTATCTAAAAATCAATGGAAAAAAAAAATCCTTGGGTGAGGATTAACAAAAAACTAAAATAAAATAAGGCTTCAGACCTGGGGGACTGGCAGACACTCCTGAAGGGAACCACTGGCTTCGGTGTTAATTTACCCTTCGACTCTGCACTTTCCCTTTGTTTCTGGCTTCTAAGGATCATCATTACTTTTTTTCTTACCAGTTTAATTATATACATAATTTAAAATTACATACATAAATTTTATAATTACATACATATGTAAATATGTAAATATTTTCCAGGATTTTTGTTGTTGTATGGTAAGTTTCTCTGGTTAGCTTGTTCACAATGTTGCTGGAAACTTAAGTCCATCTATTTAACCTTTTTTTTTTTTTTTTTTTTTTTGCATTTATCTTCAGATAGAGCAGGAGGGAGAGAAAAAGAGAGAAACATCAATGTGAGAGAGACACATCGACTGGCTGCCACCCACAAAACCCCAACCGGGGACAAACTGCAACCGAGGTACATGCCCTTAGTGCAGTGGTTCTCAACCTTCCTAATGCCGTGACCCTTTAATACAGTTCCTCATGTTGTGGTGACCCCAACCATAAAATTATTTTCATTGCTACTTCATAACTGTAATTTTGCTACTGTTATGTCTTAGGCGACCCCAATGAAAGGGTCATTTGACCCCCAAAGGGGTCACGACCCACAGGTTGAGAACAGCTGCAGCGGGAACAGAATCTGGGACTCTCTCGTCCGCGGGCCGACACTCTAACTGCTGAGCCAAACTGGCCAGGGCTATTTAATCTTTTTTGAAAATTACTGACATTATTACAGAGGTCCCCCATTTCCCCCTTCTATTTGATCTTCAAGTTGCTAAAACAGTAAATCTTTTAGCGAGATGAAAAACCAAGAAAGAACACCATTGCCATCTGGTGGAGAAACGCACTATTACCACATTTAAATGAGACCCACTTGGACTCAACTTCTCATTCCCCCAAATTTAGTTAACAGATATTGTCAAATCTTCTATTATCAGGTCTTTCTAAATTTTCCTTTGCTTCCATTTTTCCTAGTACCACCTTAACCTTGTTCCTAGTTTGTTTGTTTTACCAGAATTGTTGCTTTTGAACCAGCTTCTCTTTAGTCATTATTCTTTCAATGTATTTTCCTTGTTCCTATTGTCACACCTTACTTTTACAATTTTACATTAATTTGATGGGTGCTTATCAATTTCTTGCTTATAAGCAAAATTTTTAGAACCAAGAACAGTAGTCTAACTAGGGATGAGAACAAAGTAAAGGTCCAATAAATGGTACATGAATTTTAAAAAGTATTTAGTACTATTTGTTCATTTGCCAAATTTATCTGGAAGGCAGCATATGTACAGAAGTTTCCATGTTTTTTCTGTGACAACAGACTGATGAAGGACATTCGCATACTCCTGTGGGCCTACCTAGAGTTTTTTTTTTAAACTTAAAATTATATTTAATTACAAAATACATGACCAATATGAAAAATGAGTAATTATATTGATGATGTTGGGAGCAAAGGTTCTTACTGTAGAAGAAGACACAAATATGTAATGGGGAAAGGCAAGGAAGAATCCTGTGGGGTTATATTGGAATTGGAGATATCAATAAAACTTTTAATTTTTAATATATATATATGTTTTCGTGCTCTTTCTGTTGAAGAGGTCTAGAGGCAATGACATCCCAGCAGGCCCAGATCTTAGATTCTAAACACCACTCTCCACTAAAAGAAACTAGGGATCTTTGGAGAAGTGACTGATTCTAGGGCTGAGTGAGAAAAGAAAAAAAAAACAAAAAAAAACAAAACAGTAAGATAAACTTGGAACACTTGTGCTGGAAAATAAAGAATTTCTCAAAAAATGCTAAGAGTATGCCAAAAAGACCCAGGGGCCAGCTTGAAAGGTTTCCCACTGGCCAAAGCCAGGATAATTTGACATCAAAACAAATGAGAATAACAGACTGAATAAAAAAGGAATCCATGAGTTCATATTAACATAAGTGATAAAAAGAAAAAGCTTTTTCTTACAATAATGCCAACTAATAAGTGTACAAGGAATGATATAATTAGAAAATCACCATTTGGCAGCAATCAAGTAATAATGATATAATACTTATATTCTGATGTCAGGTTTAACACTAACAAAAATCTTGATAGGAGAACTTGAGTCTGGCCACTGGATCATTTATGGAAGGAGGCTAATCAGGGCATAAATATGAAATGTGAGTTGTGGAAGTCGAGATTCCAGTTAATACCTGAGAAATGTACCTCTTCCAAAGTTGGCCAACCCAACCATTAATGTATCTGGACAGCTCTCTAACTGGGCCTATTATGAGTCCCTTTTGTTGATTTTAACTAAAAGTCCAAGATTGATTAAAGCATGAGAAGATACTTCCTGCCTTCACAGCTATTGTATTATATTTTACAGTATCCTTGTGATCTTTCTAGATATTAGTAACATATCCCAGGAACGGTTTAAAAAACTTGTAAATTAAACATTTAAAACTTTATTTTCCATAATAATTTTAAAATAAAAATGCAATATCTATACTATGTATATCATTAGGTTATCTATTCTACACATTTTATAGTGATAAGTATTTATACATACTGTACTTGGCAATGGGGCATACTTTTTTGGTCTCCCCTATCAGGCTGTAGGTTTGTTTAAAAAGTAGAAGTCCTAAACCTCTAAAGGTGGCATTTTAAAAAATATTTCTTTGAAGGTACATATATGTATTTTAAGAATCAAAACGTTTGCTTTGTTCTATTTATTTCTTTTGCAGGGGGTGGTAAGGGGAATTAAAATAGTTTCATTTTTGCTTTTCAAAGAGCTTTCCCAAAGAGTGGTGATTCATTTCCATTATACATCATCATAATGAACACTGTTCTCCTGGCTCATTAGTAGTGTGAATTCAGTCATGTGTGTAGCGTGTATTTTACTAAAATCCAGTGTATCCATTTGGATACATATGGAGTGCCCTTTCTGTTCTTATTCTCCTATGAAAGGTATTAGCACTATGGCTTCAAGAACAAATTTTTAAAATCACAAATACCACTTGTATTTGATTTGGGTCTGGGCTAACTTCTAAGGAACCATTTAGCAATAACGGTCACAGATAAATACCCTGTGAAGCTGCAATTAATTAAGGGACTGCTTATTCTAAGAACTAGACAACCAACAAGGAAATGAGGGGAAAATTCTAAGTCTGATGCCAAGTTCTGAGCATCAATAATCCCCTTTTCACTTTTGCAACATATATAAGTAAGGTAGAGGAAAAAGATAAGAATTATATGAATAACATTAAATAAAAAGTGCATACAGAACGGGGACAATATTTTTGTTGTTAAATTTGCCTCAATAAGATGTCTGTAAGGCAAACTAGTAACATTGTTGCTATTCAGAATTTCTAAAGAGCAAAAGAATGAATCAACTTCCCAGGTTTAAACTTAATTGTCTTAGAACATGTTATTTTGTAACTTGAACATCTCTGATATGCCTTGAAAATTTGAAGCAGAAAGCAAAATCATACAGACAGCCAGAAACTTCATAAATACATCTAGACGGACGTTTGCTTGTAGTTTTTGGTATCCAAAACCTTTTTCCCACACATTGCACAGATGCCTAAAACAAAAGAAAACATGTGAGCGTCAAATCACAATAACAATAATACCAACAAATATCTAATACCCATGATTTGGTTAATTTAAGTCAACCCTGAAGCTAAAACCATAATTTTACAACATCAGAAAAGAGAAAAAGAAAATTTACACTTTTAACAATGAACAAGTTCTATTTTGCCTTAGGAAAAAAAAAAGGACATGATTGTAATAGAATTTATAAAGGCTACTCCAAATCAGTACCAAATAGGAATGATATGCATGAAAAAATGGTATTAAACTTACCCTTTTTGTAGGCACAGCCCTGGCAGTAATTAGAACCTGGCTGGTGCACAGAACTTTTGCAAATTCTGCAAGTGGAGAACTTATTCTTTCCATATGGATCGAATCTAGAGATTTTTTTTTTAAAAAAAGAAAGATGTATGATACCGTAGCAACACTCTTAAATAACCTCACTTAAGCAACAAATGGGTTAATCCATGTTCCCCATTTCCTCTATCAAACTCTACAACTGATAGGCACAGCACACTTCCAGCGGGCTACTCTATAAAACGCCTGCACGCCTCTGCCTCTTCCATGCAAGCTGGATGTTTATAGCCAGTGGTACTTAATCCCAAACCTGTTTATAATCAATGTATTTGTCAATCTATTTGTTTGATATAAATATTACGGAAACTGATAAAATGTGAATGCAAAAGGTGTGATTGATTCCATTAAAAAACAAGTGAATGCTTTAGGATGACTAGTTATGTGTGAATCATTAAAACTAAAACTACCATCGATGTCTGGCCGGTGTGGCTCACTGGCTGGGCATTCACCCATGCACCTAGAGGTTGCCAGTTCAATTCTCAATCAGGGCACAAGCCCACATTGTGGGCCAAACCCCAAGTGGGGAGCATGCAGGAGGTGGCCAATAGATGTTCTCTCTCATTGATGTTTCTCTCTCTCTCCTCCTCCCTTCCTCTCTCTCTAAAATCAATAAAGATATTTTAAGAAATTAATAATAAAAAAAAAACCCTACTATTGATTTAGTATGGGTAAGACAATTAATTAATTAATCAATTTATTTTTGTTAATCCTCACCCGAGGGTATTTTTCCATTGATTTTTCAGACAGAGTGGAAGGCAGAGAGGGAGGATGGGAGGGAGAGAGAGAGAGAGAAAGAGAAAGAAACATCAATGTGAGAGACACATTGATTGGTTGCCTCCCACATGACCCGAAATGGGGATTGGAGATCGAACCTGCAACCCAGGTACATGCCCTTGAATGGGAATCAAACCTGCAATTCTTCAGTCAGCGGGCCAACACTTTAACAACTGAGCCAAACCAGCCAGGTGGGTAAGACGGTTGTTAAAAATTGGGGGAAAATCGTAAGTAGGAGGATTTGACACTTTGCAGCTGTCAGTTTTTGCTCCATTTTAAAGCTACTGGAAATATATATTCTGGTTATGAATTATATGAAGAAAATGATAAAGAACTCATATTCAAACAGCTTTGTCTGGATACCAAATGACTGTTGAGTGTATATAGTTATGTGCTTTAATTAAAAAAAAAAAAGTATATGGATTTTTAAAGATTGCCTACTTTCACTGATGTCTTCAATGACCTGATCTCTTCGGATAAAAAAGATCGTACTGCCCTGGCCGGTTTGGCTTAGCGGTTAGAGTGTCAACCCACGGTCCAGAGAGATGTGGGTTCGGTTCCTGCTAAGGGCATGTACCTCGGTTGCAGTTTGTCCCTGGCCCCGGTTGGGGTTGTGTGGGTGGCAACCAGTCGATATGTCTCTCTCACATTGATGTTTCTCTCTCTTCCTCTCTCTCTCCCTCTTGCTCTATGCAGAAATGTCCTCGTGTGAGGGGGAAAAAAAAGATCCTACTAAATAAAAATGCCACCTTATAGTGACTCAAGTACAAAACAACGTCACTTTACACCCCACAAGAGAAGGTAGGCACTATTCTTTTTCATGTACTCAATTTGTTTCAACCTGTATGTCTGGAGATTACTTTTTCTTAAAACCCTATTTTCTCCTTCTAAGATGTATATTTTAACATCTCTGAAATCTTTACAATTGGCAGAGCCTTTTCTTTCCAAAGTGAAAGATTTAGAGAATTCAAAAGTAATAGCTACTTTTTAATGATATCAGAGTAAATTTGGGAGCATAAAGGAACTAGAAGTATCTAAATTCTATAATCTGTACAAATAACAACTTAGTCAATAATAACCAAATGGTCTTAGAAGACAGCAGTAAGTCAGTCAATAATACTTAGTATGACACTGCTTATCACTCACTTTTTTTTTTTTTTTTATTCTCACCCAAGGATATTTTTGCATTTATCTAAAGATAGAGCGGGAAGGAGAGAGGGAGGAAGAGAGAGAGAGACATCAATGTGAGACAAACACATCAACTGCTTGCCACCCACACGATCCCAACTGGGGCCAGGGACAAATTACAACCGAGGTACATGCCCTTAGCAGGAACCAAACCCGGGACTCTCTGCTCTGCGGGCCGACGCTCCAACCACTGAGCAAACCAGCCAGGGCAACACTGCTTATCACTTAAAAAATTAAGTCTATTGTGCTATTTATGTGCTGGGCACCGGATATAGTAAAAGCTTTATTTTTATTATTAGTTCTAATCCTTGAGATGATGTTATCAAACAGGTATTTATTTATTTAGTAAATATATACTGAGTGCCTACTACTGTTTTAAATACCAAAGATGAACTTGACAGACAAAGCCTCTGTCCTCATCACGATGACATTCTAGTGAGAGGAGATGGACAATAAGTAATGAAACAAACACATTTTCCGGATAGTAATACATGTTGTAGAGAAAAATATAACAGGATACGGTGGCATACATGAGGGGAAGGAGGGATGACATAAGTTTAGATGCTGGTTAGGGACTCTCTCTGAGGATATAACATTTCAGCCAAGACTCAAGTAACAAGAAGGAGGCAGCTATATAAGTTCTGAGGGGTGAGCTCTCGAAGGGAGCAGTAAGCAGAACCCCTTCCAGCGGGAGTGGGCTTGGCATATCTGAGGCAGGGGTTGCTACCACAGGAAGTCAGAGAGGTGGGTGGGGCCAGATCATGGTGGACCTTGTAAGAATATAGTAGGGGCTTGGATTTTATTCAACATAAAAAGAAAACCAATGGAGGTTTTGAGCAAAGAAGTTACATGTCCTTTAAAGGGCCGGTCTGCTTACTACACTATAAGACAACTATAGAGAAATAGAGAGGAAGCAGGGAGATAAAAGTTATTAAGTGACCGTGGTTTGGAACGTGGTAGTAGCAGTGAGATGAACAAAAGCAGGTGGATTCAGGTTGTATTTTGGTAGCAGAACCAAAGAACTTGCTGATGGGTATGGGAAGTGAGGAAAAGGAGGGAGCCAGTAAGGAATTCTAGCTTTTAGGCTTGTACACCTGGACTGGACAGTGATGCAATGAGAAAACTACGATCAGAAGACTGAAAGGGAAAGGCCACCTTAGACATCCAATAGGGTGAGTCAAGTAGACAGCTGGATCTATGTTTAGAGCTCAGAGAAGTCAGAACTAGAGAGATACGTTTGGGAGTCATTAACACATAGTTTGAACTTGAAACCATTAGACTCAAGTCAATGAGGAGAAACTATAAATTTATAAAAAGAAGGAAAAAAAAAAGTCTAGGATTGAGTCCAGGGGCATTTGCCTGAGAAGAAACAGCCAGTGAACTGGGAGGAAAGAAGAGTGTGATATCCCAGAGCCAAAAGAATAAAGGGTTCCAAAAAGAAAAGATTTGTTCAAAGTGAGCAAAGAAGTAGACATCAGTTTCAAAGGTCACTGTGATCTTGGCAAGAGCAGTTTCAGGGGTGTGGTTGGGATAAAGGCCTGACAAGAATGGCTGAAGGAGAGAATGAAGCAAGGACACTGAGAAAAATCACCTCCGCTGTGAAGGGAAGCATGGAAATGGGGTGGCAGTAGCAAGGGTTCATGGGGTTTTTAAGACTGAATATAATAAAGCATGGTGTCAAGAACTGTTTTTAAGGCGGGAGACATTTTTACCCCCATTCTCATAGGAAAAGTAAAGCAACCAGCTTAACTTGTGTAAGGTCACAGAGATAGACAGTGACAGAGTCTAGATTCAAACTGAGGTCTGACTCCAGAACTTATGCTCTTTCCACATTTCTCTGTTGCCTCTGATTTGCAGAATAATTGAGAACTAGAAAAAAATAGAAGTTACGTTTTCTGGTGAAATTAGCACTATTATCTTCATATACTGATACAGTGAGGAAGAACACGGTGAAACCAGCAGGTTATAAGAGATAACTTGGTTTTGCATGGTGGGAACTACCTGTTTTATTACAATAGAATGATGCACACCAAATCCACTTCAGCAAGGTTAATGTTAAAAAAAGTAGTAATTTTTGCTCGGCTGGTGTGGTTCAGTGGTTAAGCATTGACCCATGCATCAAGAGGTCGCCGGTTCGATTCCCAGTCAGGGCATATGCCTGGGTTTGGGTTCAACCTCCAGTGGAGGGTATGCAGGAGGCAAGCCCATTGGATTCTGTCTCATTGATGTTTTTATCTCTTTTTCTCTCTCCCTTCCTCTCTCTCTAAAAATCAATGAAAACATATTTTTTTAAAAAGAGCAGTAATTTTACATATTATTGCTCTATAGCTACTCTTATACCTACCTTGCTTTTTTTGAGGTCAAAGCTTTATTTTCATTCAGCTTTCTTCCACCACTTTCTATATCGAAACATACATATATTTCAGTGAGTTATTGCTACACATTTCATAGATAATATATATATCTAGCATTAAACAATAAAAAAGTTCATTTTTTGACCTCCTACCAATAGATAAGGCTGTATCAAAATTTTCAAAAATCCTCACTTAATAGTCAGGTTCTTAAGACATTACTTAATAGAAAACAAATATTTATTAGTAAAACAGTAACAATTTAGATAAAACACAATCATTTTATTTCTCAGACTCAAAATAGGAATTTATAAATGGTTCTACATTTAATTTATTCATTGTAAAATCTAGAAATCACTTCTTTGGTGTCATAGACCTTGAAGGAAAGTGTTTCTTTTCCTTCCCTTTGACATTTGCACTATATTTAATGATTAGGAAGGTGATATTGGCTAGTCTGTAATAGTTATTTTATAGCAAAAAAAATTTATTAAGAAGGTGAAAACATTGAAATGATTTAAGAATACAAAAATCAGGTGAGAAGAGGGGAATCAGATACCAACTGTAATTAAGCTAATCAAATCAATTACTATGACATACTCATTGCTTGAAAATCATTTAATCATTTTATTATCTGTTGCCTACCAAATTAGGAACCCCAACATGTAACTGAGAGAACCAAATAAGACATTAAATTGTTGATGGATCCAACATAATTTAATGTTTAATAGATGACATATTTTGTACACATCATATTTTACTTTATAATGATCTAAAAGCTAAAACATTATTCATAGGAAGTATTTGATCCAACTTCTGTGTTCTAAAAGGAAAAATACCTGTGGTATTCCTTGCACCATCTTTCCATGTATCTGGAGTGATGACAGTACCAAGTTTCTTTTCACCTGGTATAACAAGATAGTAAAAGTAAAGGGAATTAGTATTTCCTATCTAATAAATACACTATATTGTGCCAAAGTTCACAATGGTATCAACAGTCATATAGTAGGGGCCTGTTCATGCTGGGGTCAGGGCCAGGGAACTTAGACTTAAGGTATTAACTGTGGGTAATGGATAGCTAACTGACTCTTAGTAAAATTTGTAGTATAATAGGCTTCCTCTGTACTTTAAATAAATCTTATAAATCTGTTCATTCCATAAATATTTACTAAACATCTATAAACCATTTATACCATGTATAGGCATCATACAAAATACAGAGAAAAAAACCTGAGGAGTTAGATAAAATTCTAAATTTCTAGGAGCTTTCTGATTTCTCTAACAGTAGTCCTTAACTAGGGTTTTATGGGTGGACCTTAGGAGATAGGTGAACTAGATGAAATTGTATACACACCTTTATTTATAAACTCTAGTAAGAGTCTACAAATTTTCAAAAATCCTCATTTAATAGCCAGGTTAAGACATTACTTAATAGAAAACAATTATTTATTAGTAAAACAATAAAAATTTGGCTAAAGCACAATCATTTTATTTCTCAGACTCAAAGCAGAACTTAAAAATAAGGGTCTACATTTAGTTTATCCATTGTAAAATCTAGAAATCACTTCTTTGGTGCCATAGACCTTGAATAGTGAAAGGGTTTCTTTTCCTTCCCTGTGACATTTGCACTGTATTTAATGATTGGAAAGATGATCTAGTAAGAGTCTATAGCTTTCATCAGATTTTCAAAGGGTTCAGAGAACCAAAAAAACCACAAAAGTTAAGAACCACTCAACTAAAATATAACCTGTAAAATTAAAAGTATAATAATTGAGAGCTAAAATAATTTAAGAGCTAATATACTAGGAGAAATTCCATGGAGAAAGAAACAACCTCAGCTAGGGAAAACCAGGAAAGCTCTGTGGCAATGGCAACAGAAAGGGTATTTGGCAATGGGACTGTGAAGAAAGAGGAGGAAGGAGGAAGACAAACTAGATAGAAAAAGGGCACATCCTGAGGAAAGGTATGGAAAGTTCAGTGCACATGGGCATGCAAAATTGTTCGGTTTGGCCAAAATGTGAAAAGGATAAGGGTTAGTGAAAATGAAGTTAGAAAGATAAGCTGAGGCCTTATTGTGGAAGGTGATCCTGAATGCCAGACTCCAAATGTAGAAACCCCAAAGAATTCTCTGCACACTTAGAATTTATTAAAGTAACTTGTCCACGGCCATTCTTTCACTTAATATAAGATCTGTTTTTGTTTTTTGTTTTTTTATCCTCACCCGAGGATATTTTTCCATTTTTTGTACAGATAGAGTGGGAGGGAGAGAGAGAGAGAAACATCGACGTGAAGGGACACATCGAGTGGCTGCCACCCGCACAACCGACCAGGGCCGGGGACAAACTGCAACCGAAGTACGTCCGCTTAGCGGGAACCGAACCCGGGTCTCTCCGGACCGCAGGCCAACGCTCTAACCGCTGAGCCAAACTGGCCAGGGCATAAGATCTGTTTTTGAAACTCATGGCTGTCTGTGTTCAAAATTTTATACACTGGGGGTATATAAACAAAATGGATTATGTTAATTACACAGTAATCAAGATAAAAGGACTTGAAACATTGTCACAGAAGAGCCAGATATGTCTAGCTTGGGGAAAAAGAGAACTGGGCATATGACAATTTTTAAACATAGTTTTGTGAGTTAAAAAATCATAAGATATCACTGGATGGCAACTATTAAGAGGAAAGACTCTTCTAAAAGCCAGTAAAATCTACAGACTGCTTTGAAGGTGGTGAGAATCTCCTGCCACCTTGCCTCAATACGTAGGTATTCACGAAAAAAAACGCCGAAGCCATTGGTGAGATACTGACTTCAGGTTGTCAGATAAAATACAGGATGCCCAGTGAACTTTAAGTTTCAGATACACAACGAATACTTAAAAAAATAATAATGTCCTAAAAGTAAGTGCTTCGGGACAAAGCATTCCTTACAGTAGGAAGGAGCAGCAAACAGAACCAAGTCATAAATACTGTATGGAATATACTTACACTCGTTGTTAACCTGAAATTCAAATTTAACTTGGCGTCGTTATTTTTATTTGCTTAAATCTCGCAAATGTAGAAATGACTTTTAAGATCCATTACAGCCTTTAGGGTCTGTGGGGAGAGGGAGCCAGTCAAGAAGCTGTACGGGATGATATTCTGGTTTTGGGGGAAACAACACAAGTAGACGAAGAGGTGCAAAAACTGAGACCACCCGGAATGTAAAACATATAGGATAATACAGTCGTCAGGGAGGGGCAGGAATGGTCAAAGGACAGATAGAAGGGCAGAGGTTTGAATCAGAGATCTGTGGCCGAACAAAAATAAAAAAGCAAAGGAAAAGTTCTCGGGGAACTCCAGTTAGGTTCTCCTACCCTCCTTCTTCCGCAGAAGCGCCGCTTAACTCACATTTTTCGCACACCATCCTTCTGCGTTGGGTCCTTCAGTCGCAGCAGCAGCTTAAAAACATCAACACAGCCAGAGAAAGATACCCCTTCCGGGTTAAAAAAAAATCCACTTCCGGCCCCTCCGCCTGCCTATCTTACACCTGGAAAGCCCAGGGAAGACTAAACACGAGCGGGAAGGCGGGCTGTTTCCTTTGCCCGCCCCTCCACTTCTATGATTGGCTGTATGGCCTAGGGTCTCCGCCCCATACGCCTGCGCCTGCGCGAAGGTTCGAGGGGCGAGTAGCACCTGATGGTGGGAGGTATTAGCTTCCCCTTCCCTTCTGCGGGCGGGAGAGTTAGGTAAGCCCAGCTGAGCTGACCGGCACGCGAGCCTCCGGGGGTGCAAGCAACCCCTCCCAACTGCCGAAATGACCACTATCCTCCGTGCACCCGGCCTGCCCACGCCACTCTTCCCGCGTGACCCAGGAGCTGCTCTAATGGACCGGCTCTCTGACTTTGTGTCTCTCGGTTTCCCTTGGTCTCCACGCCTGTACTTTTTGATTTGCCACCCAGCCCGTGCCCCGCTGTCCTCACTGCGGCCGGCTGAGGCTTGGGCAGAGTTCCGAGCGACCCAGTTTACGGTGGGGCTGCAGAGAAAGGCCCAGCGATTCCCGTGATGTCTCCTTCGGAGCCGCTCAGGAGGGCCTGTCACCCCACAATGTCTGCGGACCTGGGTCAGGTCAGACTGCGGATGCCAGAGCCGCAGCCCCCTAGGGGCGTCTGACGGGTGTCCTCTTAAGCTCGGTCGTCAGGGCCTAACACAGGGCTAGTATCTCAAGAGGGGCAAACACTTGACCCATTCTCCTTTGTTTGTTTGGTCCCTCGTTCTTTCATTCATTCTTTCGTTCATTCGTTAATTCAGTACTCTTATTACATCGAAATCTGCTCGTCAGTTGGGATTCTGAGAATGGCCCCCCCAAAAAATATGCAAAGGAATGTCTGTTGAGACGCTGTATTGCAGATCTGCTTCCTCGCCCCTCAGCTGAGAAAAAGACCTCTGAGATTTTTTCTTTTCTCCCTGCTTGCCATTCTACTCTTCTTGACCCTCTAGTGTGTGTCTTTATTTGAAATAAATGAGTTTAGCACGTGGGAGCTTGGGACCTAACCTGTTTTACTTGTTTTCTTAGTAAAACATTTGCCTTTGAAAAATGTAGTGCCAATTAAAGGAGATCTGTTACAAGAAGGCATGAGCTCACCCTTTTGTGCTAGAGGGAGACCCCTCTGTGTGTATGTATAACATATATATGTTCTAGAATAACCACAGTTACATATGGACTATTACCTTAAATGAATAAGATCCTTACTTAGCATTAGTGCTATGTATAAGCTCTCTGCTAGGTAATTTATAAAGATTGTGTGTGTGTGTGTGTGTGTGTGTGTTATATAGAAAGAGTAAATTATTTCCCCCCTTCCATTTGTGCTCTACTTTTTATTGGCATCTAGCACCTGTAACAAGCATTGTCATTTTGGTATTTCTGGAGTGCTGGGATTCCTTAGTTTAGTAAAATGTTTTTGAACTCTCTTGATTACACTGGCCACCGTTTTATACAAATGTGCACTTGGTGTCACTTGACATTTGTTAGAAAATGTGAACTGTGATATTAAACAAGGATCCACAATGGTAAAAAATGCCAGCAATTTACCCAAAGTGTATTCAGGGGGTTCTAGAATGCATATGGTTATATTTCCAACAGGGGCAGATCATTAACCTATACAGTTTATTTTCTGATTTTAGCAAAAAAAAAAAAAAAGGAAAAGGAATCGCTTAATTGGTCCTAGTACATGACCCTTTTGCAGAATCAAGTCACACATATTTAAGAAATTAGAAAATTTTTCAGCTCTGAGCGCTGTTTACCATATTAGTCTACATGTGCATTTACACATATGCATCTTCCTGTACTTTGAAACTAACAGAAAATTGACTTTGGTTCATAACTTATTCTTAGGTGTTGGAACACTTAGAACAGTGAAAAAAAATCATTATTGCATATGCTCTTCTTAATTTGTTTTGCATTAGACAGCCACTCAAGAAAACACCATGAAAAATACTGATATCAAGAGACTACTTTATACCCATCTTTTATGCATATTCTCAATTATCCTAAGCATCTTCATTCCATCATTCTTCTTGGAGAACTTCTCAATATTGGAAACACATCTGACGTGGTTGTGCATCTGTTCTGTCTTGGTAACTGCTGTCAATCTAGTATCATATTTAGTGGTGAAACCAAATGCATCCACTAAAAGAAGTTCATTATCATACAAGGTAAGGCTCATTTCTTAATAACTGATTTCTAGATAGAGGTAGTGTTTTTTTATATAATTTTTTTTCTTTATTGATTTTAGAGAAAGGAAGGGAAAGAGAGAGAAACATCGATGAGAGAGAACATCGATGGGCCGCCTCTTGCATGCCCCCCCCACTGGGGATTAGGCCCACAACCTGGGTTGTCTGTGCCCTCACTGACGACTTCTTAGTGCGTGGGTCGATGCTCAACCAGTGAGCCACATCAGCCTGGCAGAGGTAGATTTCTTTTATTGGAAAAATAAAGCATTAGTCAGTTACTCAATTGGATTATTTACAAGTGACTAAAGAGAACCTGTTTGGTTTTTTTTTTTTCCAAGTTGGTAACCTGTTACTTGCTGGAAGGCTTCCCACAACATTTGATAGATTCTTGCTGTGCATTAATTGTGGAATTAAGGTGTCTTCAGTGAAAAATATAGCAAAATATTTTATGTATCATCACATAATAAGGACTGTGTTTGTGTTTTCTTGTATTCTAGCTGTCTGTTATTGGTCAATAGTTCATAAATACTGATTAACAACATAGCTCAATACATACAATAGAAACAGAAATGCTTTTTTTTTCCTTTATTGATTTTAGAGAGAGAGGAAGGGAGAGGAAGAGAGAGAGAGAGAGAGAGAAACATTGATGAGAGAGAACATCAATTGGCCGCCTCCTGCATGCTCCCCACTGGGGATCTGGCCCACAACTTGGGCATGTGCCCTGAATGGGAATCGAACCAGCCACCTCTTGGTGCATGGGTCGATGCTCAACCACTGAGCCATGCCAGCTGGGTGAAACAGAAATGCTTTTTAACTATAGTGCTAGTCTGGTGGGTAGAATAAGAGGGGGGGGGGGGCGGATACTTGCCTTGTAACCTTTTTTACAGGGCTGTATTGAGGGCTGCACCTGACTGCACAAGACATGATCTGACTTCAGGACACCCAAATCCAGAGAATAGGCAACTGTTCACACATGGGAATAAGTTATGTTTGTAAATAAAATGGAAACATGCACTGCCCTTTAGGCATTCTCTTGAGTCTTTAAATTCTTCTTTTTTTTTTTTTCTAGGTAACCAGATTTTTGAAATGCTGTATCTACTTTCTTATGTCTTGTTTTGTCTTTCATGTAATTTTTGTTCTATATGGAGCACCATTAATAGAGTAAGTCTGAAATTTCTACTTTAAAGCAATTTTATTTTCAAACACTTGTTTACTAAACAAAGGGCTAATTCTGTTGATGATTAGAGAAAGACTGTGGTGTGTTTGATTATTGGATCATGGACATCATTGCCTTTAGCAGTGTTATTATTTTAAAAACCGGAATAACTTAATTTATCAGATGCTTCTATTACCTAGCCTTCTATTACACAGTTGCATGGGGAGGGTGGGGGTGGAGGTAGGTGAGAAACTATACTATACCCGTAAATCTGTGACCCTTAGAGCCTCTAAGGCAGTGGTTCTCAACCTTCCTAGTGCCGCGACCCTTTAATACCCTTCATGTGGTGGCCCCCAACCATAAAATTATTTTTGTTGCTACTTCATAACTGTAATTTTGCTACTGTTGTCTTAGGTGACCCCTGTGAAAAGTTGAGAACCGCTGCAGTTGAGAACCGCTGCTCTAAGGGAACTAAGTATAGTGATACAGTAAGTTAGGTAGTATTAGCATATCAGTTCTTAGTAAATGTGATTCTGAAGTGCTTGAAAAAAGAATTTGTTTTCTTAAGAAAAGTCAATAGATTCCTGTATTTAAATACTTAATAAACTAATGTTTATAGTTTCAAGGTAAAATTTAAGTCAACTTTTTCAAAATTGATCAATTTTATAAATTAATGAAAAGTAAATCCATGAATATTTCTTATATAACGTTCATTATAGTTTGGGAAACTTGAGTTTGGCAGTGATTAATGATTGTGGTGAAATTAGTGATTTATATATACACATGAATATAGATATGTGTATAGTTATATATATAATTATACATAGGTTTTTATATATACACACTAAATTAACAGTTAACTCTTTTCTAGAGAAGGGAAGGCAAGACCTTTGTAATGGTAAATGGACATTTCTGTCTAATCCATTTTAGAGTAGAATGAATGTCTAGACCAATACTGCTAAACCAGCATCAGTATTTTATTGAAATGCAAATTCTGGGGCCTCAGTCAGTCAGAAACTTTAGAGGTGGGGTCCCCCAATCTTTAATCGGTTTTCTAAGTGGCTCTGATATAAGCTGAAGTTGAACCACTGGTTACAGAGAAAGTTCCAGAGAATATTGAGGAAGAAAGTTAATTATCTAGAAATGGTTTTTTTTGCTTTGGACAGAATGGATCATAGGGTATTTAACACTTCTGAACTCTATCATTAAAGCCAGATATTTGCTGGATTGTTTTATAGCTTACATATGCTATAGTCATCATGTTGGTAGGACTCGTTACCTTTCAAAGTAAAGTACAAGAAAATATTTTTACATTAAATCTACTTAAGTAACAAAGATTATGTATGTGTATATGTGCCCCTTTATACTTTTTAAAAAAATTAATGCAGTGTTTTGTTTTGTTTTCTAGGTTGGTGTTAGAAACATTTTTATTTGCAGTGATTTTGTCTACTTTTACTACTATACCTTGTTTGTGTTTGTTAGGACCAAACATCAAAGCATGGCTAAGAGTTTTCAGTAGAAATGGGTAAGTTTTAATTTTATATTTTAGTGATGTTTGAATATTTTTAAAAATTAATGTGTTTTTATATTCATGGCAGCTAGCTGATTGTTCCTCAGTTCTGATGGTTCTCAGAGATGCCATAAGGGCCCACTGTTTTTGGGGACTGGAGAGAGGGAAGGAATTATATGCACTTGAGGGGGATCCAAACAGGCAGAACTGCAGGCCCCTCCCTCTACTTTAATGAGATCAGCTCTGCATTTTTCCATATGGTAGAATTCCACATAGCCTTTTTTTTTTTTTATCCTCACCTGAGGACATTTTTGCATTTATATTCAGATAGAGCAGGACGGAGAGAGGGGGGAAGAAAGAGAGAGAAACATTGATGTGACAGAGACACATCAACTGGCCACCACACACATGACCCCATCTGGACCAGGGACAAACTGCAACTGAGGTACCTGCCCTTAGCAGGAACCGAAGCCGAAGCCGGGACTCTGATCCGGTTGCTCTAACTGCTGAGCCAAACCGGCCAGGGCTCCACTTAGCCTTTTGTTTGAAAAAAGGTTTCTGCTACCAAAGGAAGGTTTTGAAACCACTCCTCAGGGGTAATTGGTCATAGTGATAAAATGCGACAGATAAAACTGCTTCCATACATCTTATGTAGAATTGGGGTCCACAATCTAAAAATGTTTGGTGTCACAACTACCATTTCTTATGGAGCCTCTTTTCATGATATGACATCTGAGTGCAAGTTTTACAGGATTTTATTTCCTTAGCAGCCATAAATATTTTCAGCATTAACATTTTAGCTTCTTGAAAGTCATTGAGATGATTTGTATCAGAAATGGTTGAGTCATAATTAATAAAACTAGAAAGTTGCTTGGTGCCCCTAATTTTGTCCTGTTTATCACCTAGCAGCAAAAACCCTTGAGCTCTTACTCTTCCATGTTGTGAAGCTCTGTGAGAATTCTTTGTGTGTGTGTGTTCTGAAGTGTTAGCCATACTTCTTTCCCTGAGGAGCTTGGATGTTCAAGATACAAGAATGAAACGAGCAAACAGCGTGAGGCTAAAACTGTGTAAATCAGACAATAATAACTGGAGGAGCTCAGAAGGGAGGAAATCACTGAAGAATGAGCTGGAGGTGGGGTGTTCTGTAAAGGACTTGGATCAGGAGTATGAGATTTGGTGAGACTGAGGGGATGGGGAAAGACACCTCATGCTGGGGGAATGGAAACCATAGAAACTGAAATGAACATGGTATTTTTGTGTGATTTGGAAGGGAACAGTCCAAGGAGGAGAGGATGCCTGATGAGCAGCGAGGCTCCATAAATTATCTTTTCTTTGCTAAATGAACACTCTTTGTTCCCTCATTAGAACCATCGAGTGCTCATAAATTCTCTAGAAAACAAAGTGTAATTATTAAAAACTTTTTCCCACATCGTTACCACAGTATCCCAAATGGCATTCATTTCTTTTAGCATTTTAGTTTGAAAATTTTAAACAGTGAAAACTGGTTGAAACTTATTGGTTTAGGATTAATAATATATCCAGCTTTGAATTCTGTTTCTGATAATAGTATATTTGGGGGAGACATTTGCTTCTACAGTTAGTTCTGCTATTCTATGGCATATGCAGTCCTAAAAATCTCTGCAAACTTGGACAATAAAAACATAAAGGAAGGCAGGAACTTAATAAAAATGGTAGGGCAGTTTTATACATGTTAGATATGTGAAGAAATACATAAATATTATAAGTAATATAGCACTTTTCCTTGGAAAAAAACGAACTTTGCATTTGGAAGTAGGTGTGAGAAGGGTTGCCTCTTGTAAGTTATTATAAAGTGGTAAAGGAGGGTTGTGGAAATCTGACAGAAGTTAAACCAGATGTGGAGGGTGTAGCTGGTACACAGGAGGGGAACTGAGGTAACTGGGAGATGAGCTTTTTTTTTTTTTTTTTTTTTTTATCCTCACCCGAGGATATTTTTTCCATTTTTTGTACAGATAGAGTGGGAGGGAGAGAGAGAGAGAAACATCGACGTGAAGGGACACATCGAGTGGCTGCCACCCGCACGACCAACCAGGGCCGGGGACAAACTGCAACCGAAGTACGTGCCCTTAGCGGGAACCGAACCCGGGTCTCTCCGGACCGCAGGCCGACGCTTTAACCGCTGAGCCAAACTGGTCAGGGCGAGATGAGCTTTTTAAACAGTATTGAGATACAATTAAAATATAGTATACTTTGCTTATTTAAAGTATACAATTCAGCGGGTTTTAGTGTATTCACAGATGTATGCAGCAGTCACCACAATCAATTTTAGAACATTTTCATCATCTCAAAAAGAAACTCTATACCCTTTTGCTATCACTTTCTCTTCCCCAGCCCTAGGCAACCACTAATCTATTTACTGTCTCTATAGATTTACCTATTCTGGACACGTCATAAAAATGAAGTCATGTAATATGTGACCTTTTGTGACTGGCTTCCTTTCACAGCTTAATGTTTTCAAGGTTCAGCATGTTGTAGCATGTGTCAGTACTAAGTTCCTTTTTATAACTGAAATAAGGATTGCATTCTAATTTTTAATAAGGATTGCATGTTTAAATTGAATAGATGATAATCAGTTGAAGACTGAGGAACACAAAAGCTTTAATTGTGAGAACTGTGTTGGAATTATATCCCAAGAGTAAAGGACCTTGGGCTATTATTGAGATTGAATACATAATTAAATGACACTATTTTAATAAGACTTCCCCTTAAAGTAAATGTAAAGTTATTCCAAATTTTTTTAAAATGCTATTTTAAAGAGACTTGAAGGTAGAAGAGTCATTTGGTTTCTTAAAAAGTTCTGCCAACTTTTTGGTATACTTGTTATAGAATAAATGTATTTAATTTGTACTATTTTTATTGTTTGTTGCCTTTATATTATAATTATTGTGGGGTTTTTTTTCACTCATAGACTTCTAAAGTAAAATAATAATCTCACTACCTTAAACCTATATTTCTCATTGAAGTTTGCTTTTTGACTTAGTTCTTTTATGCTTTTAGGTAAATGTTTAAGTGAGAATTTGATCACTTTTGCTGAAATGAAAAAATTGAACTTCTAGATAGGTTCCTGAATCTGTGGTTATTTTACCACAGTCAAGACAGTTAGTAAAACCTATTTGTGTAGACAAAAACAACAGGCCTCTTTTGGTCATCTTTGTGTTGAAGTGGATTTTATATTGGAAAAACCACTGTGAACATTAAGAGTAAAGTGATATGAACAATGGAAAATGTGTACATATAAAAAAATTAGGTAATTTGGCTTTAATGTGGACACGAAAATTTAGTGACAAAGAGGGATTGGTTTTAATCCTCCTTCAGTGGCTAAACTGACAGTTTATATAAGAATTCTGTAAAATATCTGTAGCCACTAGGAGGAGTTGTGTGATGTCTCTGTTTTAGATGAAAAGATGAACATTTAAAAAGATCAACACCATCTAAAGGACCACTGTTTTGATGAGTCTAAGCCACACTGTTTACTGTGAACCTCAGGAACCTGATACAGTGTTTGGCACATAGTAGGCATTCAAAGTCTTCTATTTATTTCAATTAATATATGATGTAATGAATTTCAGTGGCGTCAGTATGGACAGTTACTTGGAGCTCATTGATGTGAAAATTGATCTGTAATATTGCTCACTGTTCACAGAAAGGTGAGCCATTTATTCTAATTCATAGCCCTGTTGACTATGTGTATACATTCCTTAACTATGAAAAAATTAGCCAATAACCATAGAATTCAGATGACTTTATTATGGAAACTTATAAAATAAAAATAAACCAATGTTAATGCTGCTATAGATTAGTGGAATTTATTTTTTATTTCTTTTGATCCTAATTGTTTATTACAGGAGACATATATTGTAAAAATTTAAATAATAGAAAAATATAGAAAGTCAAAGATCCTTATAATCCTATCAAAGAAGCAGCTATTACTAACAGATTTTATATACTCTAATTTTGTCTATGCATATAACATATATGTAATTTAAAAACAAAAATGGTTACACTAGTCACTGCTTTTATAACTTGCTTTTTGTCACTTATTAGAGATGTCTTTAACTATATGTGTGTATAATCTACCTATTCTTGCATAGTATTCTTAGTATATCTTAATCTATAAGTAATAGAAAACCACTTTATCGTGGTTTGAACAATAAGGAAACTGATTGTCTCACACAATAGATTGTGTGGTTCTAGATACAGATAGTCAAGGTGTGGCTGTGCTTCACTGATGCTCCTGGCTCTCATCCTTGGGCTGGTAGTGGGATGCCAGCAGCTCTCATCCTTGAGTTTTCCTAAACTAATCATTGGGAAGGAGAATGGGATTCCCATTATTTAATTAGTGTAATCATCAGGGATGAGATGAACGTTGGGGAGTTAGTCAGTATTACAAGTATTCCATGAGTCATATAACTAGTTTACTGTTGAAGGTTATTATCACTTTTTTATGATTATAAATGATATTGTAGGAACATCTTTGTACCATCTAATATTGCATACTTATACAGTGGTTTCTGTAGACTAGATTTCTGGAATAGAATTCCTAGATTAAAAGAAGTTGATAGATACTTTCAACAATAAAGATTTAGAAAAAAGAAGCCTGGCCAGTGTGGTTCAGTGAATTCAGCATCATACCATGGACTGAGAGATCCTGGTTCCATACCTGGTCAGGGCACATGCCTGGGTTTTGAGCTCAATCCCCAGTAGGGGGTGTGCAGGAGGCAGCCAATGGATGTTTCTCTCTCACATTGATGTTTCTGTCTCCCTCTCTTTATAAAAAAATCAATAAAAATATATGTTTAAAAAAAGAAAAAAAAAAAAGTTGATAGATACTGCCAAACTAAAGTTCTAATTTGAAGAATAGGTACACACACACCCCTCCCTAAGAGTGATGGTTTCCCTGAATCCCCATCAAGGCTGCTTACTTTTTTTTTTCCTAATCCTCACCCAAGGATACGTTGTTCTCTTTTAAATGGATT